CACCCGTATAAAATTCAACTTGTGCAGGAATTACAGCTAAAATATCCAACTTTACGACGAGCTTTTGTTGAAACAATGTTGGAACGCTTTTGGAGTTTCAACAATATTCTGTTCTCCGACGAAGCCCATTTTAACATAAATGGGCATGTCAATAAACAGAATCGCCGTTACTGGGCTGCAGAGAACCCACGTGCAAAACATCAAAAGCCTCTGCATTCGCCGAAAGTAACCGTTTGGGCGGCCATATCAGCGCACGGAATTATCGGACCCTATTTCTTTGAAAATGAACAAGGACAATCTGTCCATGTAAATTCTGACCGATACATAGGGATTTTTTCTTAGCGCAACTGCAACAATTTGAAGCCTATAATCGTGCGACGTGTTTTCAACAAGATGGCGCGACATGCCATACATCTAATGCCTCTTTGGCGGTCGTAAACGAGATGTTTGCTGGGAAACTGATATCGCGCCGAGGTGACATTGCATGGCCACCTAGAAGTCCGGATCTAACACCACCGGACTTTTTTATGTGGGGATACCTAAAAAGTAAAGTCTACTCCAATAACCCAGCAACAATTAATCAGTTGGAGACCAATATCAGAGAAGAAATGGCAGCTATTCCCCGCGCAATGTGTGAGCGAGTTTTTACCAATTTGAAGTTCAGATTCGAGGAATGTTCGCGGCGCGACGGTGCACACCTGGATGATGTTATTTTTAAGAAATGAATTTCCCGGATGTCTATTTTAATTGAAATAAACATTTGTATGTGAACTGTATTTAGTTTTTTTATTATATTTTTTTCAAATTCAAATTCTTTCTGGCCCACCCCATCGAGTATAGTTATTTTTTATACAAGTGCGGAAAGTTAGTCATTATTCACGAGTCTCGAGACAAGTGAAAATGGCAAATCCGCACGTGTATCAAACGACGTTTTTTAATACATTTGCGAAAAAACTACATTGAAAGTAAAATAAAACAGTATTAAAAAAAGTTAATGAAAAAGTTTTGGCCGATTTTTTCAATATGGCAACTGTTGCCAGTTTTCAGCCACATTAAAATTATTATTTTAATACTCACTTCCGGTTATTGTTAATACTCAATCAGCCATCTTTATGGAAAATATTTTGGTATTTTTAAATGTAACCTGTTGTTTTATAAAACACCTATGCAATTTAAACAAATAAGATGTTTGTAAGTAAATATAAGTTTTAATGACGAATGACTTATGTCACAAAGTACGTAAATATTAAATAAATATACAACCTCTTTAGTTCTATGTTTAAGAATTGAAACAATAGTAAATAAAAAGAAAATGGAAAGTAGAAAGCACTAGTGCGAAAAATTCAACTTTCGGCACGATTTGTAGTACGAAAAATACTACGTTTTGAGCAACTGTATTTAAAACATCTTTTGTAAAGAGAGAGAAAACACGAAAAATCTAAAAAAAAAACATGTACAACGACATCTAGTCATTTATAGAGGAACTGAACAGAACTTACGAATTCGTTGCCGTTGAATTAATAATAGTACATGGAGTCACCGATAGATGGCGTTTTAAATAAAAATAATAATATCTGCACGTAACGAAATTTGAATTCAGTTTTTTAGTAAATATTGAATGTTTTAATAAATTTTTTATTAATTAAATACGAAAGGTATAATGCGTAAAGGCATGAATGCATGTAAAATTAGTTGAATATTTTATTTGTCCATACTGACAAATGTTTAAGGAATTATACTTTATCATACGGTGCACTGTTGTTTGGATTGCTCAATGAGTGTCGATATTAATTTTAATACATAATATCATTATATTTAACCCATTATATTATCACTTCTGACACGATCTCCTCAAAGGAAAACATGTATGTTAACCTGTGGCCCAATGAATGTTGGCGACTTCACACGTTTTCCCAGAGTTGTGTGTGAACTTTCTTCGGCATGCAGGTTTTATTTATCACGATGTTCACCGTCACTATTATCGAACGGTACTGCTATTAAACATTTACAATAATCACGTACCTAACAAGTAAAAGTAAAGCTTCTTGTGAAAGAGTTCGTCCCTGTGAAAGAAGTAGTTTCACTTTATTTATTTCGACGGGCGCAGTGGCAATGCAATGTCCCACAGATCTTTGCGATTAATAATCTCAATATTACCATGTTTTATTGTAATCGGTTACCGGGACGTGCGCAAACCCGGATTTATCCCCTAGTTCGCTACTAAAATATAATAAAAATCGGTTCTCACTTTTCAAAGTATATCGAGAGAAAAAAACTTCTTGAATTGGAGAATATCAAAATCAACCATTAAAATAATTGCTGCTTATAATTAAATTTAGGCGCTGTTTATAAAAATGAATCTTCATGCGTGAACAGACACCCTTAGAGATGGATGATTTTCTTCAATATTAAATGGGACCATTATGAAGATACCCTCTTTCCAACAAAAAAAGAATCATGAAAATCGGTTCACAAATTCAAATTCACAAACAAAGTTATCGCGTAACATATATGAAGTAAAAAAAAACAGTCGAATTGAAAACCCCCACCTTTTTTTCAAGTCAGTTAAAAAGTGATCACATCGGTGGAGTTGCGATCGAATGAGGACAGCACCCTCTACACAATCTTCATGGAATTTTTATACATCAAGTTACACAGCGCAGCGCGTCGTTGGCAGCTGGTTCCGGATGGCGTCGAGAGATGGCGCTTTTCCAGTATATGTAATCCGGTGCTGCGACTTCTTGCATCCCTTTTTTCTTACACGACATAGCTGCTATTCGCATAATTATTATACGCTGTATTGAGATTTTATTATTAAGCAATAAAAGATTATGTAAAGAAATTAACACAGAAAATTATTGGAAAGACCCGTGTCAAGCCCCATCTTCTTTATGTACCTACAAACAGTTGGTTCGGTTCCCAGACGAAACACATTTACAACTTTTTAAGTCTTTGGATGCAGTATAACTTAAAATAAAGTAATGACTGTCTCTATGACGCAAAATTTTATATACAATATAGAATATTTAAAGCATATTCTCACCCTGTCGCACAGGCGTGAGACGAACTGTATGATGCATGTATTTTAAAT